AGAATATACTGAACTATAGCTCCATCTAGTCAAAATAGTTGAAATAATTTTGCTAACAAAGCTTCCCAAAATGAGCAGAGGGACCGGGATACAGCATGGAGACAGTGATATCTAGATGCTGCCTTCTTTTTGTAATAGCTTCATTGCTTATTGTAATTTATCTTTGTATAACCTTGTAGTATTTGCCAGTGAAAATTCTTGCTTCCTCCTCAGATACAAGGGAGTTTTAATGTGGGCCATCAGTACTGTTTTTTTTCTTTTTCATTCTTTCTTTATTGGTATACTCCAGACAGACAGTAAAATTGTTTGACTTGCCTTCAAGGTTTGATCATGGAACAGAATATAATTGTGTATACTATAGTAGGTGTATATGTGTCTGATTGACCTGATCTGCAGGTGGAGGGTAGAAGTGTCATTGCCAACCATTTGTTGTGAAGAAAACAAGCAAGCTGGATGGGTAGCCCTGTCTGTAGAACAGTGATCATCTGAGTCACATTCATTATCTCAATCATACCTGTCAATCACCACATTTAATAATAAAGTAGGAAGTAAATTGCACTGAACTTACCTTAAAATCTGTGTTCAGAAAGGTACATATTATTTACATGTTTTGCATTTTCTAGAGGTTTATAAAAATAAAATGTCCCTGTAATACTTACTAAGTAGCATTTGAGGGGGGATTTCTCTTTGATCCAAATTGAAACTCATGAGAAAATTACAATTTTCACCCCCCTCCCCTATCTTACCTTCTTACCCACTACCCAGTCCCCCCAGCTTACACTCCCACCTTCTGTTTCTTCAGCTAAAAAGGGATAATTCCCATATTCCTGGCATTGATCAAATGATAGTTTCATGGGATTATGTCTGACTGCTATCACCACCATTACAGAAAATATGGATATTGGTTTGTAGCTAAATTTTCTGCCTTAACAGAAACTTTTCTCATGCTCTGTTTTTAAACAAAGCTTCATTAGGAATTAATTTCTTTTCAATATGTTCTTTAAATATATTTATAAATGAATACATGATAATTTACTATTTTCCTGACTTCTTAAATTACAGTTATGTCTGGAAAAAGATAACCATAATCTTTAAAATCTTTTTGACTGCTGTAAGGCCTTTGACTTGAAATAGCATGGCATCTTGAGTAATAAGCAAAACTTATTCAAAACCAGCCTTACAAGCATTTAGCAGATTAGAACTATTTGAAAAAATGTGGTGAAAGTGTAATGATGAATAAGAACTCACCATCCAGCAGTCATGTTTCTGTGTATTTGTCTGCATAGGGAAAAGTGGTTTGTACTGTACTATTTAGATGGGTCTCAGAGTTGGTTTTTAGAAACACCCTGGGAAACACAGTTCTTGCCAGCAGTTTTTGCGGATGCCACAAAGACTGTGGAGATACGAAATAATGAAAAACACAAGTCACTGGGCTCAGAGAAAGATATGTTACAGTGCAGTGAAGCATAGGGATGTACATCTAAGAGCTACAGGAGAACTGGAACGGGGGTTGTCTTTGGAGCAGTGTCTGAGAAAAAAACACTGGCATCGTGGTAGACCATCAGTCAAACTTGGGTCCCCATCTGACCCTGTGAACAAGGGACTCATTTAGGTGTGCAAACAAGAATATGAAGTACTGGTGGAGAATTGGTGTCACCTTTTTATTTTTTCCTTCTCTGACTGTTACACTGGGTTTTCCAGGTCTGGGCTCCACACTTCAGAAAATAGATGACAAATTGAAGAGAGCACAGAGAAGAGCCACAGACTAATTAAAGGATTAGTAAAATACAATTTCTACAGAAAGACTTAGGAGCTCAATTTATTTAGATTATCAAAGAGAAGGTTAATGGGTGATATGATCACAGTCTCTAAGTGCCTACAAAAGAAAGAGAAATTTGATAATAGAGGGCTCTTCAGAGCAGGTAAAAAGGTATAACAAGAGCCAGCGGATACTAGGTGCTGCAGTGAGACAAATTCAGACTAGGGGTAAAATGCTGTTTTCTTGTTTAAGCAATGATGACTGTTGCTCTCTGAAATAAGTTCCTGAAGGTGCCACTAAGTTTTCCATTACTAGACTTCTGAAGTCAAGGTGGACTGCTTTTGTTAGAGCACATTGTCTTGTTCAATCTCTGCTTACAGAGTTAAGGAAGAAATTAAGAAATGGGAATTTAATAACTATATTAAGAACCATTCATAATAGAGAACCACAGTGGTGGCGTCCGGTTGTTGAAAAGATGGTGAAAACTGTGTTTCTTTAAACATACTGGCCTCAATCTGGCAGGGCCGCTAGGCTTGCCTTCTTATTGAAGGCTCATCACCAAACATTCTTGATTTAATGGGACTATTCACATGGATCTTCCAGCGTACTCAGTGCTGGGAGTATGAATGTTTTTTGCAGTTGTAATAAGTTATCCTAGGCATAAGGGTTTTTCCAAAGCAAGTCCCTTGGGGAATGATGTTGTGATTCCAGTCAGTGGCCTCCAGCCGAGGGTCGCTGTGCTGCAGTGGGAGCCTGCTGCCCCCGCAGCTCAATGGTGGTACTTAGAAGTGGCTGAGAACACCTTGTCTGCTCCACCAGTGGCCTGGGTTCTTCATCCCACTGAGTGTTTGCATGGGCTGGCAGCTTCGCTGGCATGCTTCCTGGGCACATGCTACCTACCTATTTAACAGCAGTGAGGCCTCTCCCACAAAATACTGTCAGTCCCCCCAAGAACCAGATCTGATCTGTAGTGGCATAAAACCACTTCTTTGGCATTTACAATGCTGTGTTAAATGGCACGCTGTTGATGCTTTCTATAATGTTCATTTATCTGGTATAGGCTTTTACAACCTTCTCCAGTCCTTGCAGCTCCAAAGCTCCTACTTCAATAACCCAAGTTAGATGCTGATACAAACAATAAAGTAAATTTCATAAATGTTTCTTTGTCTTAGTTTTCCCATCATTTACTAGTAATTTTGGTCTTCATTAAGAGGTGTGCAGTATCCGTTCTTTTGGTCTTGCTTTGTCTGTTTTTCTCTGTTCTGCACAGGCTCCCTTCTTTCCACTTGGGCTAGTATCCAGATTAAATGGCTCGTTTTCTCTGTACGTCTTTCTCCACTCCAAGCTTCCTATGAAGCTATGTGCATCTTCTCCAGATCCACAAAGCTTCTGTATTGGTAAGGGATAGGATGAATGCTTCAGTTTCACTTTTATATGCTAGATTAATTCTTGCTTCCAAAATATCAGCATGCAGTAGAAAAGAAAGTTCTTCTGACCTCTTTCAGATCATGGCATCTACAGTTTCCATTTAAATGGTTGATCAGAAAAGTTTAGCTACTAACCACTCTTCTGGTCAAACAAGTCTGTGACTTGACAATCATTAGCAAATGATAGCATATACACTGACAACTTCGTGATAAGAACTATAATATCAGAAAGACAATATAGGGTAGTTCTGGGGATATCTCCCAAATCATGTTAATAGGGTCCTAAATAATTACATCAGTTCTTTATTAAACTATGTTCCATTCCTAGTCTTTAATGTAAATGACAGATTTTGCTGTGCTAATCTCTGGCGCTAGGTTCTGTTTAATGCTTCTCGTATGCAAAAAGTATTTTAGCCCACGTAGCCTCTTATCCACAGCTCATACTTTAGAAGGTTATTTCTTTGGTAAGATGCCTATAATTTAGTGGAAGTAATAACAGGCCGTGTGCATTTTTCTGGATTTTTAGAATTCTAATTTAAGCGATAAGCAATTTATGCAATATCTTGAGGTTCCTTGACACATTGGAATTGAAAGAGGAGAAATGGAAGGAAATGACAAATCTTTTTTTTTTTTTTTCATCGTTGTTTATGATTTTTCACTCATCAAGTATTTCTCAACGTGTGGTTTTCAAGAAGCAGGGTTTGATTAATGAAGTGTCAGATCCAGAGGATGTCATGAGAATTTTGGCATTTATTGTTTGCAGCATTTAAATTAGCCATGGAGTTTTCAATATTCCTTATTTTTTATTTACTATATCTGTTATCCTGTTGATAGTAAATACCCTCTTATACTAAATATCAGTACATAGTAAATTTTGATATTTAGACATCTGCAGGAAGTTGATATTTATACAAAAAGTATACCAGTTATTCAGATTTGCATTTTGATGGAAATCCTTTATTTATTTATTATTTTAAAATCAAGACAGTGGAGAGTATTGGACTACCTAAATGCTAATGGTTTCAGTGACGTAGATGCTTATATACCAGGTCTAAGGCCATCAAAATTATTTTGCATAGGGAAATTGACAGCTATACAAACATGGCTAGAGTTACATTTTTTGCAATATCAGCAGGTCAAATAGAAGTTCAGTTGTTAATCTTTTATTTAGTAATTCCTTACTCTGGTCATCTGAAAACCTTTATACTATATAATAGACTTCTGTATTATCATGCCCTCCATACAGAAGGCATGCCTCAATTTAACTTAGCTGGGAACAACTCTGATGAGAGCCACTAAAATAAGATGTTTCTGTGAAGGTTTTATGCCAGATTTGTGATGCAGTATTGGTATAATTAGCGGATATTGTATATATAATTTCCTTGATGTACTTATGACATGTCTATGAGCTTGTTCACTCCTGTAGGGCTGTAGAGAGATTTTTCACTTCTGACACATCCCACTTGAGTGTCAATCTTGGCATTATACTTCTTATGCTAGCAGCTCTACCTACCCTTGAGTGCTTCTTGTATTAATAGAACCTGTATAAAAGGAGGGGAAGAAAGAAGCATATATTTGATTTAGACTATTGGATTGTCTTTCTTTTGCATTGTATCCTTGAATAAATTAATATATCTCCCAAGTAATGATGTGTCTTGCTTATTATTGAAGAACTTTTCTTTCCCCACCCATGTTAAAAATGACTTGCATGTTTTTACTGTGCTCCCTTGTTGTGATACTGTTTGTCAGAATGTGTTGTGCTGTTTGATAAGGGGTGTGCTATTCTCACAACACATGAACACTTTAGTCTAACTATGCCTTCGAAAGTGATTGTGATGCAAGAATCTGCTCCTGTATTGTGTAGAGGTATTTGGAAATCTTCCCAGTGACTTTTCAGCAAGCACTTAATGTGATTCGTAATGTTCTGGGATAGAATCACAGATGTGAAAGAGACCTACTACATCATCACTTCCATTTTCATATGAGATCAGGTTATATTCCCCCAACAAAGGATGCATCGAGTATTAGATTCACGCTACATTTGCTCTCCAACAACTTTCCAAACCTGGCAGGAAAAGCATCATCCTGAGAGTTGTTTAAAACGCATAAAAAAAGACAGGGAGTCAAGGCTGCCCTGTCCCTCTATTTTAAAAATCCTATGCGGATTTTTATGTCATGCTTTCAGTGACTTTTTCAATAGCCATTTGACTGTATTATCTGTACTGAGACATCTATGTAGGTGTGTAGCACGTGAGTCCTACGCGGAGCCATATCCTGGATGTATGGGTGTCTCTGAGGAGGTAAAATTGCAAAGTATTTCTTTGGAACTAATTGGTATGACTTACAGTGGGGCGGGGCTGGGGAGGGAAAGGGAGGAAAAAACCTATTTCTTAATTAATCTATCTGTTTCTCAGATACAGAGAATATATTGCAAATATAATTTTTTTTTATTTATTGTACTACCTTTCTTTGGTCAGAATAGATCACACTGAATTCAGGCTCTGTCATCTGTGCGAAGCTGTTGCAATAAATTCAGTTCTACAACTTAAATCCTTTCTTTTTTTCTCTTACTCTCTTCCCTTCTCCATCCCTCCCCTCCCTCCTCAGGCAGCCAAGGGCAGTTTCCACTTACGCAGAACGTCACAGTTGTTGAAGGGGGAACAGCAAATTTGACCTGCAGGGTCGATCAAAATGATAACACCTCCCTCCAGTGGTCAAATCCAGCTCAACAGACACTGTACTTCGATGACAAGAAAGGTAAATCGTTTCCTGATCTCATGGTTCTGCATCATTTTTTCTAAGAAAGGAATGATTAAAACCATTTCCCTTTAATATTTTAATGTGAAAATATTTCCTAAGAGTATATGTTTTCAGTAATATTATATAATCTTTTTTGGAGGGTGGCTCACTGAAGTACTCTCTTGAATATAAAATTGTATTTTATTATTAAAGGAAAAGAATAATATCTGAAATTCTTATTGCAAACTAATTTGGAAAACATTGTTGCAAAATATCTTGGAGGAGCATTTATGGGTGGTGAGAGGCTGGCAAGGAAAGAAACAGTCCATAAACCTTGTGACTTGCTTTTATTAGTGTGTATGTGTGTTTGTGTGTATACTTTTTTTTTTTTTAAGATGTATGTATATAATCCCACTGTTTGCTTCAAGTGTACTGCAGTTTGGTAGTTAGTGCAATACGCAGTTGCCATGGTAGGTGTTCTTAACAGCTAATAAAAATGCTTGGTTTTAGTGCCCTGATTTTTCCAATTATACCATGCACAGATTTTGTAATTTGAGTTAAAGTAAAGGGGGGAAAAGACAGGAAAACGTCCATTCCTTACAAAAAGAAGGGCATCATCACTGCAGTAGGATGTATTTCTAAGACATTTATCTTAATCTGAAATGAAAAAGCATTACATTTTACATAATGGAATGTTAACATAAAGATTACACTAGATTCCTTAAATAAATTAAAACTAAAGTTGTGAGGAATAAATTCATCACTTGGCTTAAAAAATGCAAAAGCTTTGGTGTTCATTTCAGTGATACAGAAGTTCAACAGTATTTTATACTTAATTCTACTGCTTGAATTTATTCTGAAAGGTGCTACATACTCTAGAACATATTTTAACAAGTACAGTTATTCCTCTGCTTAAAATTAAAGAAGTGCTGTCCAAATGCTTTGCTGAATGGTTACAAGACTTTAAAACACCTTGTAGGACTGAAAATGCTTTGTGTACCTATGCACTTCAATAGAGTCTAAAACCTGTCATTTTATACTTGCAGAAACTGCAATCAAAATATGTTTTTTTGCTATTAATATAATAGCTGAATAGAATCTCTTGATGGTGTTGAAGTGGTTCCTTTCTCTTTTATCTAATTTCCTGTAGCGTGTAATCATTTGATTTGCAATTTCTTTGAAATCGTAAGTACCTTTTGAATGTAGGATTGAAGATGAGAGGTTTATAAGGTGCAAACTTTTGAGCTGAAAGTCTAGTCCTATAACCTTTACTCATATAGACCCCTTTATTTTAGCTGCAGTCATCAGTGGTTTGGGATGCGTAAATAATGTCTGCAAACTAAAAGCAGAGGGTACTTGTTTGTTGATAGAGCACATCAACACTCACAAAGTCTCTAATTTCTACAAAATAAGTGACGTTTTAAAGGATGCTGAGAAAGAAGTGGGAGGACTACAAATAGATTAGTTCGAACTTTATAGCCATTTTGGTGTGAATTGAATTTTCTGTGTACTTTAGCTAAATCTGTACTTTTAGAACGGATAATTGAAGTTTGTATTACTTTTTAATATAATGAATTGAAGCAACAGAATTTGAATGGCATGCAGCATAGTAAGTACTTAGAAGTAATTTATATTCCCCACAGGAAATGTGAGGAGCTGAAGTGCGTAAATTTAAAGGACCACACTCTTTACTGAACTTTTAGCTTGTCCCAAGACTTCAAGGAATGCTTGACAATTCATTTTACGGAGGGATTACTGTGCATCTATTAGGAAAATGTCTTGATGTGGTCAAGAAAAACTTCAGGTCCTTCAAGCAGAGATATTTAGTCTTTCTTACATTGGCAAAGCTTGCATTCTGTGTGACATTTCCAGACTTGAGTATACCAAGGGGAGTGAGCAGTGCATCCAAGTCCTACATGGAAAACATTCTTCCATTTCTGAAAATGAAGTTACAGCTTTCATTGGCATTTTTTTCTCTGTGTATACGTATGTGTTCTTATAAGTAAGAAAGAGATTTCCTTAATGTGCTTTTGATGCTTGCATTATTGAGCCAAAATGGACAGAGATATTTATGGCTCTGATATCTTGGTTGTTTTCTCTGTAAGTGATGGCAAGTGCAACTGTAAAGGCTTCCTTTTTTTTTTTTTTCCCCTTCCTTTCCCGTTTCTCCCAGCCAGGCATACAATTTGGCTGTGAAAAGCAGCTTTCTACTAGATCCAGTCATTACATTTAATTTATTGAAAGAGCGCCTCAGCCAGAGTCTTTTCAAACCTGTCTCTTAATGTCAGCCAAAACCAACCTTCAGATCTTACTTCTCCCTTCAACACCATGAAAACTGCTGTTTAATAGCTGTGTTTCTCAAGCCCTGAAAATTCATGAAAACTGTTGAGTAGGTTTGTGGTATACAATGGTGTAGGGTTAAGTTCTGTGTAGGAAACTGAGCCTTAGAAGGGAAGCACCACCAGTAGCCTTCATATCCATCAGAGCTGAGTAACTCTGGATGTTACCACGTTCAGAACTAAATCAAATTTGCATGCCTTTAATTCCCTTCAGTAAGTTATTTTCTATACACATACTCGTAAGAATGACACACATAGGAATGACAGTATATTTCTTTTATGTCTGGAAGCATAAAAAACATTAAGGAAATCTTTCTATTGATTGCTCTATATTTTAATAATTGCGAGAGAGTCAGGTAGTAAAACGAAGAAAGGCAAGTAAGTATCAAAAGAGGCTCCAAACTGCAGCAGATGAGGGAGATGACAGCTGTCAGCATATGGCAGAAGAGGTGCCAAAAATTGAGTAAATTGTCCATGCAGTGAAAAGCCCTTTGCCGCTAGATTGCCCTTTGAGAGACTCCTTTCATGTTCACACTTCTTTCTCAAGCAAGTTGGTTCCCCTGTCTTGCAAAAACATTTTCTGACCAAAATAGAACTTGCTGTGGGCCTGGAAAAAAGAGCCGCTTGGTCACATGGAGGGAATGTCTGCTTCCCAGTCCCATGCCTCTCAACAAGGGGTTTATTATTAGTCCCCATTTTATTCAAAATGGATGACATATTATGAAAAGCATGTTCATGTCATTTACTTTCTTCTGAACTGTGATGCAATCATTGACATTGAAGTTAGGAGTCATATTCTTCCTTTTTCTCTTTTAGATATTCTAAATAAGTATGGAAATGCAATGACCCACATGCACTAATACCAAAGCTACATTGTTAAAATTATTCTTCTGGATCTCCTCACATACTGCTATGGCCACATGTTTTTAAGTACAGATTTTTCTCGGTTAGAAGGATTTTGTGGCTGGTAGAGAACACTTCCTCCCCTGCCCTCCCAGCAATTTAATATTTATTTAATATTTATGAAGGCGATAAGGACTATTTTTAACTTGAGACATTTTTGACACCTAGTCTATACAGTCTTACAACGATATAGATGGAAAATGAGTAGAGTTTTGTTTCAGAAATGGCAATGCTATAATTTTAGTGAATATGAAACTGCAGTTCAGAGGTTGTTTCCAGGTCCTCATCACTTGAAATACTTGATTTTTTTTTTGTTGTAAATTTAGGCCTAAAATGTGTTTGACTCATTGTGGTGATGGGAATCAGGGGAGGAAAGAAATCCTATTTTCCTATAGGAAAATAAGTTACAGCTTTAATTTATTAGCTAAGCAAGGTAAAACAGTTGCGTCCCTCCAACTCTTATTTTGACACTAAAATATATTAAAGCTGGAACTAACTATGTCTTTATTATTATTTTAACACACAGTAGCTAAAATATATGAAAATACAAATGTTTGATCTTGTGGATTTGGTCTCATTGATGACCTGTCTCCTTCAGCATTTTGTCTCTCTGTTGTCCTTTCTGGTACTTTTTTTCGGGTTCCTCTACTTTGTGGCTTCAAGGACACTGTGTATCAATTTGATTTTTAACTCTTCCACTTTCATTTGAAGCATAAAATCTTTACCTGAAAGTATAAAATAAACAGTCTAGTTGCATAAATGGATAAATGGTCTTAAATTTTAATAGGCTTAAGAACCTTACCATGACCCGCCTCGGTTTCCGACCCCCCAGACAGAATTTTAAAGATTGTGTCTTCCTGGAAAATGTGAATTCACAACTCACCCTGAGCAAGTTCAGATTCTTCGAAAACAAATGCAAATTGCGTGCTGCACATCAAATGAGTTTTTCCCTACATAATTTTCAATCAAAATGAATAATTGCCATAGAAACCTCCGTATCACTTTATGCACCCAAATACCTATAATTATAAAGCTGCCTTTGGGAGAAGCACAATGTGCAACAACATGGAAGTGGCAGATATGATTTTAAATTAATATAGGTTATTTTACTTTATCTTCACTGGTGGTACTTCTTAAGGATTTTGAGTGGGCAATAAACACAGAGAGACATAGATATGAATGCAGGTGTATAACAAAAAGGGTGTAGCATGGAAACACAGAGATGGTTGACAAAGAGAAGACTGAGAAGAACCTTCATTCAGCGTGCCATAGCAGCCGTCTTCTCATATTCTCTTTTGGTAGGGAATATAGATACATACAGAGCAGGATATAGAGTTGTAAAGGAGATGTGTACAACTGAACGATGGCTGTTGATGTCAAAGGTCTTTAATCTCATCAATATAAAAATGTGCAATCAGACTATAAAAAGGAAGAGAAACAGTACCTGGTGTACACATACCTAACAGTTTTGCTCAGTCAGGCAAGTGCAAGTGTAGAATACCTGCTCTTCACCTTATTAACAGAGAAGTTTGCAGGTCTGTTGATAGAAAAACAAGTGCTGTGTTGACATTGATCACGCTAAGTTTGCCAGAAACTGACATGCCAGATTTTGATGAGACATATGCCTGATGCTAGTCATAGATGGGTACATGCCCCTTGTGCTTTCATCAAGTAGTAGCACTTTCATGTCATACTAAAAAATGGGAAAGCCTGTTCCAACCTCAGGATTATTCGTCCCTCAGCAGGAGAACGTGTTTCTTTAGATGACCTTTGATT